GAGTGTGTGTTTTTTTTGGGTTGTTTCTTTCTTTGTCTTTCTTGGCCTCATAACTTATCTAAAAAACGTGGTTTTTTGTTTTCTTTTTGTGACAAATAAAAACACCTGGCATATATATGTTGCGTCTGGTTTTGGTTGTTTTGGTTCGGTTTGTTTTGATGATTGCGGTTGCCAGAACGCAGTGACTCTTCTGAGACACCCTCGTTGGATTTGATTACGTGAGCCCGAGCTTTCAAAAAATTCTTTTTTTTCCTGCGAATTTTTTTAATTTTATTTTTCTCTCACCCATCTCCAAACCACCCTTTGATCACCCATATCATGCAAATTTTCGTAAAGACCCTCACCGGCAAAACCATCACCCTCGAGGTCGAGTCCTCTGACACCATCGAGAATGTCAAGGCTAAGATCCAAGACAAAGAGGGTATCCCACCAGACCAACAACGTCTCATCTTTGCTGGGAAGCAACTTGAGGATGGTCGCACCTTGTCGGGTAAGTCTTTTGAATGGAAAGCAGATCGTTGTTAACATCCCCATCACCATCCCCCTTCCCTCGTTTTGATGTTGATGTGGCATGGATTGTTGTTTGTTGGTTATCATGCTTCTTCTTCTTTTCTTTTTGTAATCCATCCATCCTTTCACACTCACACCTTCTACATCACTTCCCATGCTTGCATTATGTTGCCTGTTGTTGGATGGAGGGTATCTGACAAAGTATATCAATACATCAACGCGTTGTATTTTAATTGACTTCATTGATTCATCACAATCCCCTTCATCATCATCCGTAATGTATCCAACTCAACGTCCTCTCCACACCCAATCACTTTTGCTTCTGACATGCATTGTTTGTTTTGAGGTATGAACCAAAAAAAAAGTTTGTGACTGAGAATTAAATCGAAATGATTAAAAAATAAGTCAACTTTGCTTGGATCTTGGAAGAATCTAGCAACATCATCAACCTTCCATATCTCTCCTCTCTCTCTATTCTTTGACTGGTGGGAATGAACAGCTGTTGTCGTTGACATTCACCTTTTGGCTTTGTGTTTTGTTGGAAGCTGTGCCATTTGTATTGTTTATGGGTGCGAAGCTGAGGTTCAAAAACGAGAACGCGTCCAAAAGAGGAGGGTATCTGGGTGTGGGGTCTGTCTCTGTGCTCTCACCCGTCTCTGCTTGTTTGTTTGTCTGTCTGCGGGAAGGGTATCCCAGGAAAAATTTTTATAATTATTTTGGTTCTGTCTGTCTCTGGACAGTGTGTGCAGTAGAGATACCCTTCCCCCCCCCTTGTTTTCTCCTATTTTGGTTGGTTCTTTTGTTAAGAGTGGCGGCGAGGTTGGGAAGCTTAGACATAAAGCAAAGCTACTTCAAGAAACAAAAAGATCTTTGTTGAAAATTAATAATTCATACCATCCCTCAAAAACTTGCGCGTCCTTCAAACACACTGCATATAAACCAGCTTTCTCTTTCATCTTCATTTCACATTATCCCCCTTTGATCTTATCTTCGCCTGTTATCCCAAAAGCAAATCAATCGTAGCATTTGGTGCTAAGACCACTTGACTCTTCCACTGTGTGTGTTTATTTGATTGTGGTTGTGATATCCAACGGATACAGTAACTAACTTGGTAATATCTTTGCTTCCTTTCATTAGACTACAACATCCAAAAGGAATCCACTCTTCACCTCGTTCTTCGTCTTCGTGGTGGTATGCAAATCTTCGTGAAAACCCTTACCGGCAAGACCATCACCCTCGAGGTCGAGTCATCCGACACCATTGAGAACGTCAAAGCCAAGATCCAAGACAAGGAAGGTATCCCACCGGACCAGCAACGTCTCATCTTCGCTGGAAAGCAACTTGAAGATGGCCGCACTCTTTCCGACTACAACATTCAAAAAGAATCAACCCTCCACTTGGTCCTCCGTCTCCGTGGTGGTATGCAGATCTTCGTCAAGACTTTGACTGGAAAGACTATCACTCTTGAGGTCGAGTCATCCGACACCATTGAGAACGTTAAGGCTAAGATTCAGGACAAGGAAGGTATTCCCCCGGACCAACAACGTCTCATCTTTGCCGGAAAGCAACTTGAAGATGGCCGCACTCTCTCTGGTAAGTTCTTTGTCGTTTTTTGCGTGCGTAATAGCAGCCGATTCTGATTTATTTTGATTCCAGACTACAACATCCAGAAGGAATCCACTCTTCACCTTGTCCTTCGTCTTCGTGGTGGTATGCAAATCTTCGTTAAGACTTTGACCGGAAAGACCATCACTCTCGAGGTTGAATCATCCGACACTATCGAGAACGTCAAAGCCAAGATTCAAGACAAGGAAGGCATCCCCCCGGACCAACAACGTCTCATTTTTGCCGGAAAACAACTTGAAGATGGTCGCACTCTCTCGGATTACAACATTCAAAAGGAATCAACCCTCCACTTGGTCCTCCGTCTTCGTGGTGGTATGCAAATTTTTGTTAAGACTTTGACCGGTAAAACCATCACCCTCGAGGTCGAGTCATCCGACACCATTGAAAACGTCAAGGCCAAAATCCAGGACAAGGAAGGTATTCCCCCAGACCAGCAACGTCTCATCTTCGCCGGAAAGCAACTTGAAGACGGCCGTACTCTCTCGGCCTACAACATCCTGAATTATTCAGACCTAAAGTTGTGCCGCGTGAGCGTTGGTGGTATGCAAATCTTCGTTAAGACTTTGACTGGAAAGACAATTACTCTTGAAGTTGAATCTTCGGACACCATTGAGAACGTCAAGGCGAAGATCCAAGACAAGGAAGGTATCCCCCCGGACCAGCAACGTCTTATTTTTGCCGGAAAGCAACTTGAAGATGGGAGAACATTGTCGGATTACAACATTCAAAAGGAGTCTACCCTTCACTTGGTGTTGCGTCTCCGTGGAGGATGTTAAGTATCGGTGGGGATGAGTAGGGTTTTTATCTTTATTCTTGCAAGAGGTGTGGTTGGGGAGGCGGTGGACAGACAACGGCAAACACACACACAGGCATTGTTTGTTTTTTTTTTCTTAACCTTTTCTGAGCTTGCGTAATTCCTCCCTTGATGGCAATTCCTGATGTTTTTTGCTGTTGGGCATTGATGCCGTGGGGACGGAGAACAGCCGCCGGGCCAATGAGTATATATATTTTATTTTTGTTTTCTTTTGTTGTTTTCATTTTTATTCCAAGGGTTGTCTTGTTTGCTGCGTGGGTGGAAGGGTTTGAGAAAGAGGGTACAGGGTAGATTTGTTTTCGTTTCCTCGTTTTATTTTTAATCCTTGTTATTGTTTGTTTTGTTTTGTTTCCCTCCGAGGCCTCTTTCATTGCCTTCTTCTTTTTCATTATTTCTTTGTTGGGAACTGGTCTGAATTGTTGGTCTTTGATGGAGAATATATCGAAATATTTCAAAAGTTATACATGTTATCAAGTGTGCCGTTTTTATTTCAATCTTAGCTTCAAGGAGCCGAGAAGAGCGGAACCGCCAGATCTTTTGTCTCCCAATTGTGAGATGATAACTCAACATTTTCAATTCACATACTGCACGTTTTTAGGCAGCATCCTGGCCAGCGACCATCACTTTCCTTATGATGCAATCAGTTATTGACATTGGACAACTTAACCATCAGAATATGAGAACAAAGTTTGTTGACATGAGATATCAGTTTTTATACAGTGTGAAAGATATGGTGAGGAGATTTGAAGATGGGATTGGAAAGGGATGCGGATCATGGAATGGTGGTAATGCTGGATCTGGAACCTCTGGGACTCGCTTAGATGGGAACGGTGTGGATGAGGATGAGTTTTGTAATGGCGATAGGAATATGATAGAAGGACCCACGGACCAATGTGGACAAATGTCTGGACTGTCAAGGAATGTTGTTGACGGTACGGATACAAAAACTCAAACTTTTCCTTTCCTTTGGGAGACTGATGGAATATGTACTTCAGACTTAGATAATGAGATTGACGGAGCACACTGCCAACCTGAGGTAAAATGTTTTTCCAGTTTATCACGCGTTTCTTGAAGCTACGTCCAAAAACGTGTATTGATAAGCCATTACATCAAAATAAATAAATAGCCGACAATCGACGTCAACGCCCTCTTAACCCAGATCACAACTCTTAACAATCGACTTTCTTCAGCAATTGATCAAATCAATCACATTAAATCAATCGTCGAATCCCATAGTATTACCATTCACAACTTGCAAGCAAGACTGGGGTTTTATGAGAAAGATCAAAGGGAGGATTCGCATTCGTCCAGTAATGAAACAACAACCGTAGCCACCGAAACAACAATGTCAACAACCGCCACGTCAGAAAACATTGAAATCAGCAATGTGAAAAGAAATACGGGCTTTTCGAGGTCTAATTCGATGTGGTTGAGGACGCTGCCTCCAGTTGGATTGCAATTGGCCGTGTCTGAGGTGATGTCGGGTGGAGTTGGTCATGGCATTTTCAGTTGGAAGAGTAAATGAGGGGTTGAATTTGGATTTCTTTAACAATGTTACAGCTTGATGGTTGTGCGTTGAGAATATCTTTTAATGATGTCAGAAGGATGGGGTTTGCGTACAATAGGAAAACAGAGAGGTCTTGTAGATTTTTAAATATTAATAATATTCTAGCTTTCGCCAAGTTGAAAGAATCCCTTGTTCATTGTCTCTCCGTCTAGATTTTTAGCAAGAAACGTCGTAAAATAAAAACTCACGAGGATCAAGCACACCCACACAATTAACACGACGTTCCGCCCTCCCAACAATACAACCCCCACAACCCCCAGCGGCAGCCCACATTGGCGGAGGGGTAACCGAGCAATGAAAGAGGGGAGCAAGAGCGTGGGAAGAACAGAAGGAAAACAAAGCGCAAGTCCCCGACTTTTTAAGTCCAAGTGGTCGGAAAAGAAATCGTTTCGCCTCCCATTTTTTGTCACGATAAAAGGCGAGGGAACCAGCTAAACAATTTCTTCAAAAAAACGAAAAAAAAGGAATGATTGGAACAAAAAATGCATTTGCCGGGGCTCGAACCCGGGTCGCGTGCTTGGAAGGCACGTGAACTAACCACTGTTCTACAAATGCTTGTTGAGCTCGATAATTGGCCAGTGCATGATGTTCCGTAACTCTTGTTGCAAAATTTCTTGATTTGGAAAGAAGTTCAATGAAAAATGTCACTTGTATGTTTTCAATCGAAGTTGTTAATGGTGTTTTAAATTTCAATGCGCGAACCTAACGAGAACGCGTTGAGAAGATCATCATTAACCGAAACTTTGAATTCGCGGATGATTTTTCGTATTCACACACTCTCGTGTAGTCGACGACTGAACTGGAGTAGGAGTACTTCTTCATACATCGGTTAATCCTTTCATTCCGCAAAATGTTAGCATTGGCAAACCATTCTTCTCATTTTCGAAACTACTTTATTGCAATAAAATAGTAAAAAAGAGTAAAATAACGCAAAAAGACGAAAAATGACTCAAGGAAATCAAATTGAAAGAAATAGAACGGGCCTGGAAGTATACTTCTAAAGGGCCCACATATCAAAACAAAACAAAAGAAACCATTGAAATAAGACGCGTAAACACACATAGAGAAAAGTGATAAAAAGCGAAACCATCCATTGATACACACAAACGGAAAATAATCCACATTTTATAAAAAATGAAAGGGAAAAAGCATTAAAACTATTAAAATGAATGTCGATAACTCAACACTGTTGAAGGATTTGTAAATTTCCCCACACTAACCACAATCCCGCGTCGTCCCGCAAATGCCACCAGCATCCCAACTGCGACAACGGACATCTCAATCTCATCACTAACTTGAATTTGCGTAACCGTCCAAGGAAGTGAATCAACAAACCGATCAAAGTAACTTCGTGTCTCGTTAGCCGTTGATGGTAAATTATATCCATTTTTATCCGCACTCAACAATAAAGTTATGCATTCTAAATTTCGGCAAGGATTCCCACCACGTCCTGGTGCCTCCCAAACTTCTCTCATTCCATTCCATAAAGCTATACCATCCTCCAAAAATAAATTGGTCAAACCGATACCATGTTTGGTCAACAGCATTGAACGCCATTCACAATAAGTCAACATAGAACCAACTAGACCCGTACATCCCCATTTATTGCCCAATGACATCTTGAACGTGAAGATGATTTAAATGGCGTTGAAACTCAGCGAAGCGGTCGAAAAGAGTCCAAGTATCCGCCCAGTTCCATACAGCAACCCAAGCCAGCGCAGCAAACGCAGAGTCGAGAAAATTCGGTGTTGCATTTTTCCGAAAAACCATAATTTGATTGTCGTTAAGTCAATCAGAATATATCTTGACCTTTAATTCATTCACATTGGGAAAGACCCAGGAAAGGACTCGCTGCATTTGAAGAACGATATCTGGTGGGTCGGCTACACCATGTTGAGCATCGTAACCACCCGTAAAGATGACATGGAGCTTAACAACATCCCTCAATTGACATCGATGAAACGTATTTGAGCTGGCACAGTTTACTGCATATATTGCTGGTATCGCTAGTTTAAGCCATCGCAAAGACTTTGGTAAAAGCCTTAACAAATCAACGAGTGAAGGTGCAGGATGACTCCAGTGACGAATGCATACTGCCATGATATCGACCTTAACCAAGTATTTTAAAACCCCGAAATTGAAATCGTCACACCTCGAGTAACCAAAGTCTAGGTTTACAACGCGTAGATTCGGGAACAAGCTGTTTTTAAAGAACCTCATGCTGTGACGGTTGACTTCTTCAACCTCTTTGACGTTGGGAGTGTGGAATGAAAAAGTTCGGCAGGAGATATCGAGATGCGTGAGTTGCTCCTTTACATCAATTAATGCCTCGTGAAGAATCATCCAGTTCTGGTGATCAAACCTATCACCATACACAGCTCCTCTGAGGTTGGGTAAAGACATCAATGCTTCCTTAATCTTGACCCTGTACTGCTCCTTATTCGCCACACGTTTGATTAGAATTTTAACGTAGCTTACGAATCGAAGAATGTCTCGGCATTTGGGAACAATAACTGGTGTCTGAACTGATGGTCCCTTGGTCTTGTCATTGTCAGTAGCTGGTGCTGTAATCCAATCAATGAATGCATCAAAATTTCCAGCCGTCAAAACAATCTTTCGAAAGAAGACTCTATCGGTGTAATCCCGCCAGGTTGTTGATACCGATCGCAGCGTTTGCAAGGTTTGAAAGTTGACCTTTGAAGTTTGCCTGAGGTTGTCCAGAATGTCCGGAAGAAGGTACTCTGGAAAGTTGAAGAGCGGGTTGTTCATGATGACGGTGGTATTGATGACCTGTTTGTTTAATGGATATAGATAATCAAG